TTCAAGTTTCAAGTTTCATTCAGTTTGTGTTACAATTGTACCGACACACTCACTGACACCAGTTGAACGGATACGTCGAATACGAGCGCACTATATAGCGCGTTTTCAGCTCGTTTCGATTGCATGCGTTTAACCTGAATTTTTAACATGAACAGTTCAAGTCGATAAATTGTGCAAAATTTATTCAAAACATTCGTACTTAACAAACAACGACTCATTCCAATACACACACACACACCATTTTATTCATTCAATCATTCTACTTCTCTCTTTGCGGTTCGTTGTTAAGACTAAAACTTTTAACCTCTGTGTGACGCCGATTTTCCCACCTTTCGTTTGCGCATATTTTTCTTTTATCCCATCATCAACTGCTAGGCATATCCTCAAGTTCGTTTTTTTTCTCCTAAGGAAACACAAATATTGCGTTTCTCTCGAGCGGACAAAGCATTCTAATGAAATACATACTGCAAATGAATTTGTCGGTTTAGCATTTACAGTGTCCTGTGGTTGTGTGTGTGTAGTGTGTTATTAAAATTCTTGTTTTTCTCAAACCCCTAACGAGAGATGTATATGCAGGAAAATGACATACACCGAATCGAGAAATGAATTATTCATTAGGCTCTTCTCGGCTATATGCACCTTCAGCACACATTTCGGTCGGTTGTGTTTTTGTGTTGTGGCAAGAGAGAGAGAGAGAGAGAGAGAGCGCGCGATAGAGAAAAATAAACGAATGCTGTGTGATTAATTCATTGTTTCTTGCTCCACTTATACACTTCGATTGACGCATTGTCGACTAAATATACATATATTTGACTCGACTTCCATTTGCAAAATGCAAGAGCCGCTAGACAATTTTGAGTGGCGTCAAGCCATTGAATATGATTCGATTCGTTTTGACGACAGATTTTTCCTCTTGTTTGGATGGTATTTCATGCAACAACAACTGAATAAGTGTGCTGAAAAGTACATTTTACCTGATTCAAGCATCGGGTGGCAGCTAAGGCCAAAAACAGCTTAAATGACAAATGTGGTGACGGGAGCGCCAAAATTCAATAGGTAAATCAATGTCATTTCGAAAAAAATTCTGACTTAACGAATTTTGTTAATGGTGCCACCCTATGATCGATTATCATTACTATCCATCCACAAAAGTAATGACATTTTTTTTGGTTTTCTTTTAACCTCTCTATTCAATGATTTTCTATAATGATATATCCACATTGTACAAGGGTACATACTAGCACTGAAATGCATTTCTCACCTTTTCCGTCGGAAAATATTGAAGAAAAAAGAAATTTAAAAAAGCAATCCTATTAGATTAATTCATTTCAATTTATTTGATTGCGGAAATAGCAGAAGAAAGGAAAAAAGGGCGATGTGGTAGTCGTCATCGTTGACCCATTTTGCAGTGTAAACAACTAATGATTTTCTTTCAATTGGATTTCACAATGTGAATTATTGATTGCGCACTGCACAAATATGTATACAAAAAGCAACAACAATAGCAGCAATGTCTGTAATTATAATTAATTTCTGTTGACATTGAGCACGACAAAAGAATGAATTATGATTTTCTTTGCTTGTGCCCGTTTGTTTTATATCGATCCGTGATAAAAGGGACAAAAAAAGCCAACGGTCACACGCAACAAGCCGCAAAAGTGCGAGAGACATGCACAAATCGGATTTCTGTTGTTTTTTCCTCTCCTCCTCCTTCTCCTCTCATTCACTTCAAATTCAATTGCGCGAAAAGGAGAGAACGTGGGTTGAGAGGGCGAGAAAGAAAGAAAAAGAGAAATAAATAACAAAATAAAATTACAATTTATAACTCGGTGCCCATTCTGTGTATATTTCGCACAGATACATGCAAATATGCTTAGTAATTGAAAATGATAAATTAAAACTGGCACACAGCTCTTGTGTGCAAATGACATATGTACGTGTGCACATGCTTTATGGAGCAATGCAGAAACACCTTGAGCCAAACCGTTTGTGTGTAGAAAAGAGGACGTTGAAATGTTGGGTCGAGACTGGAGACAAGAAGAGAGAGAGAAAGAGAGAGAGAGAGAGAGAGAGAGAGAGCGACAGTGAGAAAAGTTATTCCTTGTACATTGTTGTTACCAAATGAAATTAATTGCTTTCTCTCAAACGCTGCCAAAAAAAAAATTCAAGCTGACACTTTATACATACGAAAATGGTAACTGGGACCGAATGTAGCTCTTCATCGACAACAACAACGATGACGATGACGATGACGACGACGATAGCAAACAAAACCGAAAAATAAAGAAACTTAATTCGCATTTGGGTCATGCATTTTATTTCATTTTTCGCTGTATTCCATTCTTGATACTTTTTTGTCACCTCACCCAATAAAACTGCTTCGCTGCTGTATATGTGTCTCTGTGTCTGAAACAAGATTTTCGCTGGCTACCCAACCGAAGCCAGTGCACCCATTTTAGCTATATACTTCTAAATTTATATATTTTTCGTCATTTCTCTCGTTTTTTCTACAAATGACATTTAAAAAATGAATTGTCAAATAAATTCAAATGTAGAAAGTTTGATTTGAAAGAAGACGAAAAAGAGAAAAAAAACACATCTCAATTTCTCTATCTCTCTTTCTCTGACAGACTAAAAAAACAGCGTTGTGAAGCTGAAAAAAGGAGCAAAAGTACTAGCACTTACCAGGCAATGGAGAATACAACGAAAAAAAGAGAATCATTTTGGACTGATGGAATGAGTCACACACAGTGAACGAATCTGTTCGTGTCTCCGGGCCAATGTACATAAGCGTATAATGTATACATTTCAGAAGCTAATCGTACAATGTGTACTCAAGCATAGCTGCTGCAAAGTGAACGCTTTAATTTCTAGTAAATCAATAGTAAAAGGCAAAACGAATGAACGAACGAACGAACGAACGAATCGAGCAAAACGAAAAACACGAACAAAAAATCCTAATGAAAAATGTTGGATATTTCAAGAGGAAAAACGAAAAAACAACAACAAAACAAGAGAAAAAACACGCACACCAGAGACACAAGAACCACAAACATTGTAGAAAAATATGTTATTCTATTCAATTTTCCAGCAATGGACTAGCTCAAGAAAATAAAGCGGATAACGTGATGATTTCTATCCACAATATTGTTGTTGCTGGTCTTTTTGTGTTTGTGTGCATCATTAAGTGGGAACGCTTTGAAAGTTCTGTGCTATATTCACATTCGTTTATTTGTAATGCTTTTAATGAATGGCCCGGCCCGTGCCTGAAAAGCACGTACGAATCCATAATGATCACCACTGCATATTTTTATTCTCTTTGACCACTATCATTTTCTGTGTACGAATCTTTGAATATTTAGTAAACTTTGCCATGACCATTTTCGGTTGATTTCGATGCTCATAAAACCAGCACCGATTGGTTAATGATATCGTGATTAAACATTTGAAAACCTATATCGAAATGGTGCACTCGAAAAAAAAAACTTTTTTGTTCACACCACCATAATGTTCGCATTCATTCACTTTTTAAGTACTGCTGAGTAACTCGTAACGGGTATGCATACATTGGATACATTATATGAGACGGAACTTCCCAAATGTCAATTGTTTCAAACATATTTTTAATTACTTGCAAAAATTAGTGTCATTAAACATGAGCCTGGTTCGCTCTCTCTCTCTCTCTCTCTCTCTCTCTCTCTCTCTCGCGGTGGGCTTACCTTCCAGCATTGCATTCGGTTCGGTCGATGGTCGCAAAAGCCTCTTCGTACAAAAAATGCGAATATGACACGATGACGATGGCGGTGGCAACAGCAAAAAATTATGCTAAAATTCAAATTAAAACACAAGGATAAAATTTGAAATGAGAAACACGAGAATTGTTGTCATGAACAGACTTATATATACATCTGTTGACGATGAGCTCTCATTTAAACATTTAACAAGCAAAAGTCCACTGTCATCAAATTGATTTGCGCTTGACATCATATTTGCGTGTACTTTTCCATTCGCTTCTTCTTCTTCTCGATTAATTTTTGTATGAAATATACATTAACTCGCACAGCCGCTCATAATCCCGATTTTTGAATGTGCACATCAACAAACCAACAAGACTTTTATGAATAAATAGCTTTTCAAATGACTTTATATTATACTGGTTTAAAAGCTTTCAGCCTCTCTCACTCTGTATCTCCATTCCTCTACTTCACTGTGTTCAGTGGCATTTCATCGCGTTAATTGACGTGAAATTTTTACCAAATAATTTACATTACTCATTATTGTTTGTTAATATTTGATACGTTTGTTTGGTGTTCACCATGCTCGTTATTATTACAGATTGACAGGCAATAACATATTATTAGCTATACTTAATAACATAATAATAACGGCCGATATATTCGTCCAACATAACATAATAATAACGTTATTAAGATTCAGCATAATAATAACATAATATGTTACGAAATATGTTGGATTTTTCTTAATAAATCCTATGATTCGGCACTAATAATATATTATTAACTATAATAATAACATATTATTAAGATACAATCTTAATAACGCTTTTTTCGCGCATTTTTTCGCCGGAGTACTGACAAGTTGTTTTTTCACTGCGGAGTATACACATGAATTTTTGCACTGTTGCACAATGAAATTAAATTAGTTTAGAAAATCGCCAGTTTCGACCTTAAAAGGATCAATTTACCATATTTTGTCTGCATTGTTATAGGTGTGTACACCGTACAGTGCTTGTTTTCTCTCCCGCTAGGGAAAAGAATGCGCGAAAAAAGCGTTATTAACATTGCATCTTAATAATATGTTATTAATTGAGTTAATAAATCTGAATCTTAATAACGTTATTAAGATAAAAAAAAATCCCAACATAACATAATAATAAATATGTCGGGCAATAACATATTAATAACATATCGAAAATGTAAATCTGTAGTTATTAATGCATTTCTATATATATTTATTTTTTGTTCTCGTTTCATTCACAGAGTTAAGACGTGCGTCATCAATACATTTTCATCGCATAACACCAGACGAGATATTTCCCGAATGGAATATTGATTGTCCCTATTTCTGGCATCCAAACGACAAACATCATCAACAATGATATGCATACACATAAATCAAATAGCAACAACAACAAGAAGAGCCACCAAATCAATGACAAAGTGCACTCAGAAAATCATTCATTTTTAATTATCTAAGCAAATACGAAATCACATTGTAACGGAAGTTACAAGACGACGACGAGGACGATAAGGTGGAAAAAGGCAAAGAGTATTGGCATTTAGTGAAGAATCGCATTTGAATATGCTTGATCGAAGACCAATTCAGTGACACAAAGTGAAAACCAAGCGAACGAGGGAGTAAGAGTGAGAGCACGAGCAATAGAAAAGGGACCGACGAGAGTGTGGGTGAATCAATCTCATCATAACCGTTTTGATTCTCTCCCAGAATCGGGGTTCACGGAGTTTGGTGAACGACATCAACTTTTCATCACCTGCAGGATAAATCGATTAATTTCGGCAAGTTTTGGGTGGTTGTCAACATTCCACGTTACGTTAAAGCCGTTGAATAATTGCTGGTCATCATCTTTCGATGGTATCATATCAACGGAGTGATCAATTGAAGGATTGCTCGATCAAATTACCGCTGGATATTCCGTAAGTATTCCACGATATTATTCTTCCTACCACCTATTCACACTCTCCCCCACACTATGGCCAAATAATTGATTTTAATCGGGCATCCGATTTAATTCACTTTTCTCCACTATTTTCGCCCTATCTCCCACACTCGCGCAGATTCATTCATCAAATAGTTGGTTCGTGATTTTCCAACGATTGAAATTGCCATGAGACACACAATTTATCACATTTAGTATGGAACAATTTCATTAGAGAGTCGTTCTCAATCTATGGAGACACGACAGACCCAAAAGACGACACAGAAACACAGGCAAACAAAGAAGAAGAAGAAAGAGAATGAACATGTATTTCCTGCATCGTGACAAAGAATAATGCAAAAAAAAAACTGAATCAGGAAGAATAGCGACATTGACACAGCGGCAAATAGTAGAATTGAAGTAGATTGATGGTTTTTGATGCGTCACGTTGCTACCACATACACACACAGACACATTTTGCAATCTACCAAAAGCGAGAAACGATCAAGAGTCAGACGTTGGTTTCAATCAGTTGACGAAAAGACGAAGGAGGAGGAGGAGGAGGAGGAGGAGGAGGAGGAAAAGGAGGAGGAGGAGGGGGAGGAGATGCAAGAGGCAAAAAAGCTCGATTCCCAAATGATTGAAGCGTGCATTAAAAAAGGCAATAACCAATCCATTGGTTCAGATAGCTCATTTCATATGGAGCATATTTCGTCAGTGTAACGCGCGGAAATTGGTTGACAGCAGCATTTACGTTGAATGAATCCAAAATGAAGTGAACACACTGGTTCCCCAGAAACCGAGCCAATCTTAAAAGCTGCCGAAAATTTTTCAAGATTGAAAACATCGAAACCCTATTGAACCATTTGACCAAACGTCACACGACAGCCATACTGTTCTGCGTACATACGTATGTGTGTGCGTGTGTGTGTGTGTGTGTGTTCGTCTTCTGTGATTTTGAATCCATCCGTCTCGTCATACGAAGTGAATATAAGGTCGGTGGCCACTGGTGAAACAATCAAAATTAAAAACACGGTTAGCGAAAACGATAAAAAGGACATTCAAGGTTATTTTCAGTCGTATTTACTCTCCCCGTCTCGGTGTTCATGTGGTGGTCGCGCGTCCACAAGTTTGGCTTTCCCACGTTTATGGTTTGCTTGCACACAATAAATGATTTATGTATCATGAGCAGTGCAAAAATTTGATGCGACCGCATAATGCGAACTTCATGTTTTCGCGTTAAGTGGAAAGTTACTTGCAAGAAATGAATGTGTCTACTGGTGGTGAACCACAAACAACCGACCAACAGATGATCTTTTTTTTCTTTTTTCCAAAAAAAAAAACTCGAACCAGCGCACAAAAAAGAGTTTATGTGTATTTCTAGCGGTGGTATCTTGATTTGTGTTTAAAAGTATATGATAAATGGCAACGAAAGAGTACAAATGAAATTGTTGAAACAACGAGAAACCGACCAAAAGAGAGATAGATAAATGGATGCGAAAAAATGAAACATCACATAGATCATGACTAATTAAGTTTTTTTTTTCTTCAAACATTCCACAACAACCATTAAACTGGCGGGAAGAGTTAACCGCTGCATACATGGAATAATTGAGATTGTAAAGTTGAACATGAATAACCATGCAATGCGAGGTGATTTTTTATGTTTAAAAGCTTATAGAAGGTTTTTTTTCGAAATCTTTGCATTTTTCTATCTTTCGCGCTTTTCTTTGATCCCATAGCCGCACATAAAATACGGAGGATAAATAAAAGAAGCGCCAACGATGCGTAACGTTTGCATTTATTGAAATGGAAAGAATTTTCATACCGCATCAAAGCGCATCGAAGGATGGAATGCAACGAAATTGAATCTTCGGTGACTCTATATGGCGTCACATGAGACCACTCATCAGCTGCAAAACTTGCACCATTTGGGTACATAAATCTTTGACCATAAAGTGAAACTACATGTTATATCAAAACATTCTTAAGATTGTAGTGCTTGTTGCCTTAATTCGCCACTCAACTTTGTGTGATTTGGCGTGCATGCGATTTTCCATGTGTTTACACACACCAACACTCAATTTAATTGAATTTCTGTCCGTGATAACTTATCGCCGTATCTATGATTTATGACACAGATAGCTGAGACATGCTTTTCTTCACTAAAATCTTCATTTATTGAAATATTAACGGCTACATAATAGAGTTGTGGCTGTCTTATGACCGACAGATGCGAAGTAAACCGTATAAATACCCAACAAACACAGAAGGATGCGCTTGAACAACCACTTTGTGTGATGGTTTACGGAAAATCTCATTAATTTCGTGAAATATTATCAAGTATTCTAAGGTCATTGCTGTCAGAAGCAAAGATTCATCAAAATAGTAAGACGTGGCATAAACTTTCTCAATCTCTACTATCGATTTACTGTATGAATAAATTCCAATTTATTTAATTAGAACTAAATGAGAACTGTGCACATTGTTCATTGGACAAATTCCCACGTTCAAGTCGAAAAAGCTCGGAATTTTGATGTTTTCTCACCGAAAACTGAATGAAATTAATCTCTGAAAAAGGCTGGCCTCTAACTTGCCGTAACATGTATTTATCATTTCAGCATTACATTGTTATGTTACCATGTTTTTTATTTGGTAGATAATACTGAGGTATGAAGCCATTCAATTCATTGAACCTGGTCAAAGAGGTTTTTCTTCCACTGACATATAACCATCGAAATGGTTGTAGTGGCCATCGATTTAGATGTTCAGATGGTAGACATGGTGTACTATTTCGAGTTTTTTTCATGACAAAAGTTTTTGTCATTTGAATCTCTTCGGCTTTTCAACCAAAAATTTGAACTTCAAAATACGAATTCAAAACATGGCATTTGCCCAGAAATGCGTCAATCTCACATTCAAATTGCGTCAAGAAAAGGTGTGGACTTTTATTAATACTTTTGAGCCACATTCTTTTCCTCTACAAATACTCGTTGGTTTATTCGAAAAAAAAGAGGTTTAAATGACTGATGGGGTGTTTATTTCGAATAAAAATCGATTTTTGAAAACATAGTAAAGCTCTCATCATTCGATGTAGTACAAAATTTGGCCAATTTATATGAATCTATTGAAATTAACAATACGGCAAATGGAAAAGTTCGTCCTATTTTTTGGCTTGAGCATTGTTGTACCCCATTTATATTCATGTTTACAGCCGATTTTTCATCGTATTTTTGTTCCTGCAACCTCTTCCATCCAGGTGAACATTTTCCGGAACTTTTTTGATGATGCTTGAAAATATAGTTCTGCCATCCATTCTCCTTCATCTTTTTTGTACGTTCTCTTTTCATTTTTTTTTTTCACATAAAAAATGACTCAATTTATTATCGCCAACGCCGAGAGGAAAAAAAGCGAAAGTCATGCGACTCAACGCATTCCAAGTGACCAATATCAGAGGCGTAGTTTATCCACAAAAGAGAAAGAGAAAGAGAGAGAGAGAGAGAGAGAGAGAGGGAGAGAGAGAGAGAGAGAGAGAGTGAGTGAGCGACTTTTGATGTAATGTAAAGCCCGGTTCATTCCCATCGGGAATGAAAAACATTTCATTTTGCCCATGCAAGACGAATATTTGCTCGTAGTTTCGAGTTAAATCTACAGGAAAAGTACACACTTGAATAATAAATTGAACTTTCTATTTTTTAACCAAATAAATTATTGTCCGAGTTTAAAGTATGTACATATAAATGTTCGTGGGACAACAATTAAAGCGAAAATTCGATTATTATATAAAATCGAGGTGGTTAATTAAGGCCAATCACGAAATGCCGAACTGTATAGAAAATCGACAGAAAAAAGGCACAACAGATCTAATTGAAAACTAATTGATAAAAGTTATTTGAAGAGATCAATCAAACCCTAAAAGTAAACGATATTTCAACTGAAATGATTGATTTTTTAAGTGTCGAATATAGTTATTAGAAGGTCGTCTTTTGAAATTGAAATTTGATTATTTTTGATTATTGATTGCTGAGCAATAGAGTTTTATGAACATGAAGTATTAGTTGAACATGAAAACGCCCTTCATTCAACGAAATCTTTTCAATTTCAAGTCATTAGTAATATAAAAAAAATGAAAACAACATATTTTTTATAATGTTATAAGTGGACAAAAAAATACTCCGTGAATTTGGCAACAATGTGATATTTTGAGAGGAAAAAAACGCAAATTGTAATGAATGTAAATGTGGAATGTACAAAAAAAGTAATAATGGTGAACAGTTTTTATTTGATACATCAATGCCAAAATCGGTGAAACCACCAATTTGCACTCATTTCAGAATGCTGATCTAAGGCCGTTGTGATCAAAGCATAGTATTTTAACCGCTTCAAACGCAGAATAAGTTGTATTCGTTTCTGTGGTTTCAGTTGACCGATGCATTTGCTCTGTTTGGTTCCCGTTGTTATTGTAATCCGGCTGAATTGCGTGCACGAGTGAGATATAGTGGGGAAAAAAGCGTACAAAAAACTGAGAACAGCAAAAATGGAAAGCAATTTTGTTGCTGTTGTTAAATACATACAAAAAAGTGCAGTCATTAATTCATTGTTGTTTCTGCTTGTTTTGTCGTTTTGTTTTATTTTATTTTATTTTTTGCACGATGAAGTTTATTTAATTTTTTGCTCTGTCTCTCTGTCTCGTTTCAGATGGTTAATCAAAATGGCAATGAGGCCAGTGGGCCCGTTTGATTCATCACCGTCCTTTGCACAACACAATGATTGTGTGCTCGTTGTTGGAGTATCCCGTCCAAAATTAGCTGCTGCTTTTTTAACAATTATGATTATATCGTTGTTTTTGACATTTCACGTGCTATATGATAGCGCCATCTATAGCATTCAGGTAAATGTGTTGACCGACAAATATCATGTCAATTTATTTGTAAAATTGACATGTAAAAATGCGGTTATTTCGAAATTTATTTCGTCACACAGTTTTGCTCATTTTTTTTCCACTAATATTATCGTTATCACAACCGAAATATCTCATCGTTAAACCAGGGCACATGGGGCGGCGAGAAGAGAAAATCCCATTTTAAAAGCCAAAAACAATGGGATTTATGGAAACGTTCGATATTGAAGTGAACTAAAGCATATGCACCCGTTCACCGTTGTCGCCGTCGCGCGTTGACAATTATATTTATTTGATGAGGTGCGAATACACACATACGGTGCCCCGGTTTGCAATTCAAAGTAGCCCATATACATTGTGCGATTCGCATTTAAATTGCTTTCTGCAGTTATTGTGAGTGTGTGTTGTGTATTGGGAGCGTACACACGCAAACAGTTCCACTAAAGAAAAAAAAACAAAGCGAGCCCATGCAGTGGGTATTTGGAACGTAGATGCAAGAAGGATATGTATGCCACCCGCATGGATCCTTCGACAAATGCAAAAAACAAACGAATTCAAATAAAAAAGTATACGACGAATAAATATGATTATATTAATGCGTCTGGCATTCGGTTCTAATCCCATTAAAATTTATTTTATTGCTTGATTGTTTTTTTTTTGTTTTTTCTCGCTCCCACTCGCTCGCCTCTCACTACTCATTGGTTTATTGCATTGCTTTGCTCGTTGTTCTCAATCGCCGCACACCGGCTGTGTAATGGCGCAAACAATCGGTGTTTTCGATTCGTTCCAAGCAATTTTTGTTTGTTCCATTTTTTTTTCAACATGATTAATAAATACCGACTTTTTTCGCGTTCATCGGCTTTAAGCAAGCATCAAAACGTATGCGGCAGACGTATGTTTCGAAACAACGGTTCGATTACAACTCAAAGCGCGTGTATAATTAAAAAAAAAGTGCGATTGCATTTCATTCTCTCTCAAAATAAATCCAATAAATTCTCATTCTCTTTTTGTGAATTTCGCTGTTTCAGGCTGCTTCCAGTTCCAGTGCTTCGACAGATGACCGATTCTCGTATCTATCGAATCAAATCTATGGTCCGAACGATGCGAAGGCTGCGATAAAAAATTCAGTTGTGTTCCCTAGTAAAATACATTTTCCAAAAACTAGCAGAAGGCTTCCACAGGTGAGTGTAAAAACAAAAACATTGCCACTTGTCAATTGAACCAGTATATGAATTTCATCCCTTTTTCTTCTTGTTTTTTTTATGCGTTACCAAAAATAAACGAACATTCCTTGTAAAATATTCATTTGTGTTTTCGTTGGAATTATTTGTGCATATCGTATGACATGAATCACGCGCCGTACATATTAATCCGACACATCGTTTCAGGCACTGGTGATCGGTGTACGAAAATGCGGTACGAGAGCACTGCTTGAGATGCTGTACCTACATCCGCGAATACAGAAGGCGGCCGGTGAAGTGCATTTCTTCGATCGCGATGAAAACTACTGGAAAGGCTTGGAATGGTATCGAAAAAAGATGCCGCATTCGTTTCGTGGCCAAATCACCATCGAAAAAAGTCCCAGCTACTTTGTTACGCCCGAGGTAAGTGTGTATCCCAGCCACACATTGTCACGAATCAATTCAGTTCACCATCATGTTAATTTCAGCTATTGTTTTCCATTTTCAATTCATTTTTCGACATCATACTTACATTTAAATGATACATTTTTTAAGCTCCCTTTGTTGCATGTCGAAATGCAAATGGAATACGACTATTCCATTAGCAATGTGTTCATTTTTCCATCGGAATGAACATCTGGAAAAAATTCGATATGCACGGATTTTTCATCGATCATTAAAATATTTGAAATTAAAGCAAATGGCTTGTGGTTGTTATTTTCATGTTTTTGTGTGTTCAAATATATGATTCGACGATTGTAAAGGGATTAGGACTTGTTATTCGTTCATTTTTGTGTGCTTTTGGCCGTATCCAAATGGTTAATTATTAAAAAGTAATTCATTTAGTCCCGACGAACGCCTTTTTCTCACTTAAATATTAGAGTACGGTCATTATGGGGTGGTACAATGGCAAATTGATCAACGTAGTAACAACAGTTGAAAGAGCTAAATACGCCATCCACATATTTGTGTGTGTGCACATTGAATGTGTCTTGTTCATTTTGTGCGGCGTCTAAAAATCTTTTCAAAATGCGTTGTCATTATCCAAATCGATTTGTTTGCGGCACACGCGACAAATGAATTTCATTACATGATAAGGCTATTTTCGGTTAAACTCTACGTCTATTTTAATTCATTTGCATGCGATCTAAATGCTAATCCTCCCATTTAATATTAGATCAGTTCATTTGGTGCGATCGACGAAACCTTTGAATATTGTATATAGACGGGTGATAAAATTACGGCCTTGCATTTTCTTTGAAAATGTTCAAGACATCGTCGAGCACTAGCTATTAGACAACAAATCGACTTCCTTTCAATTTAAAATTGTAGGAAAAATTAACGTCAATCTGCTCGCGATATACACATACGCCCTTGTTTCACGGAGTTCATGTGAATGGAAGCGAAATGGAATTTATCGCAATGACACATTCATATGAGCTGCCACATCCAAATACACGTCAAATATTTCCGCTGCTATTCATTTTCTTCTTTTCTTCACCCTTGTGCGCCCTCTCACTCTCTCTCTTTCTTGCTCCTCATCTCTCGCTCTCTCGCTTCCTCTGCCGCTCTTTCACTCATTTCATTTTAATTATAAACAGAAATATGCATGGGATTATTTTGCTGAAGCACACTCTGTTGGTAATTTGCAATGCGTAGCTCTTCATTTTTCTCGTTCTCTGTGTTAATCGTAATGAAATTTTGCTCAATTTCAAACATATATAGAGTATTGAGGTTGTTGCATTACCTTGCACATACACACATGCCAGATGAGAGAGAGAGAGAGAGAGAGAGAGAGAGCGAGCGGGCGATAGCTTTTCACTAATTTCTATCTCAAATGTATATCTTGTTTCCATTATGTGCCTAAATTTCCGGTAAACACGCCGAACGGGCGTTCAACGAGAGCTAAATACTCTAATTTCAAAATGGAAATGCACAGAAAAACGAAACGAATAGAAAAAATCGTACGATACACACAAGTTCTGGAATCTCATTTACACGTACACTTGTGTGTATGTACAGTGTATACTCTCCGAGGCACCCAGGTATTATCCAATGTTTCTTTTCATTTCACTTGATTTTGTGTGCCTGATATGGTGTGGCGCACCCGCTCTCATTTCCCGCCGTATCCTCCGAGTGCGTGTGTATGGCGAAGAGGAATAGAGGGCAAGAGCGAGAGGGGAGAAAGAGAGTTTGGGCTGATTTTCATTATTTGCACACATATGCAGTTGAAATGTAATTGAACTTTTTGCACGAACCGTACACACGCTCCCATAAGTTGATTAACATTCTCAGTGTACTTTGGATGGCGGTGGCGCTGTGTGCCAAAGCCACGACACATTAATGTTTGCCAATGAGTTGCCATGATTTTCGTGTTTTATCCTCTCTCTCTCTCTCTCTCTCTCTCTCTCTCGCTCTGTTGACATCTGTATATATTTTCAGTTTGGTTACACTGTTTCCATCTGTTCCAATCGCGTTATCATCGCTACACACAGCGTACAAAATCAAGAATTTGTATTTGCTATTTTTTCTTTCTCTCTCGAAAACTCCGTTTTGCGAATGAAAGCGGGAAGTCATAGACGATTACAGGCACATTTTTCCACATCCGTTCCAATTTTCTGTTTTTGCTTATTTTTCTCCTATTTTGTGCTCGCTTCTCTCGCAAAGTAATCAGTAATGGAGGAACGTCGATGGCACAACCTTCGGAACGGTGTGCATTTAAATGTGTTCTCGATTTTATTGACTTAAACCTGGGGATCAAATTCAATAATACTTTAATGTTTCAATCTTTTTATTTGACTTTCCAATCAATGCAGTGATTCGTTTGATTACAAAATTACTACGTTAACAGTAAATATCGCCAACGCTTGCAATTTTTTGTACTTACAAAAATGCCCCATGTAGGAGATGTCACAATGTAAATTCAAATAATTTCGTCAGTTTGTTGAAGTGAAAAAAGGAGAGCAAGAAGAAGAAAAAAGAACACAAGAGAAAATATTGCATAATTCAAAGCTTTTTGTATACTACATTGTAAAGGCACTTTTCTCATTTTCTTCTCACGCGTCATATTGAAATTGCGCACCGGCATAAGAAGAACGCTTCTAGTTTTTTTCTCTAGTATTTACAACGTGGAGAGCTATTTCTTGAAGTTTTTTCCTTTCATAATGAAAGAGTGGCTGTTTTCGATGAGACCGTTTTTCATTCTTTTGTATATCCTTCGATTATAAGCTTTGCCCATACCATACTCTATGCGAATTAAATTGAGGGTTTTCAGCTCAATGGTGCCAAATTGAAAAATCGAAGAAAAAAACACCGCAAATGTTTTTAAAGCTTCGGCTTCTTTGTTCTTAATTCGGTGCTGTGTGCTGTCTGTGTGTAAAAAACCCCCAATGCGAAAAATCAAAATGAATCGAAATCGGGCGACGAGAATACGTACGTGCAAAAATTTAATCACGAATGTGGACTCTTCTTCAATCCGCATACCATACCACCTCATCTCCTTTCCATCTCCGTTGCAACACACATCACAGAGCAGAGAGCACAGCACAGGTGCGAACTACATTAAATGTAAATGAAGAAAATGCCATGCAAGACAAATACGCTGCCATAAATTTTATGACAACGTTTATGTTTGCCGTTAAGAATAGCAAATATTAATATTTTGCTCGTTGTGCCGTGTTCATTTCTCGCTTTTTTCTTTCACTTTACTTTACTTTACTTCACACATTTTTTTTCTCTGCCCGGCTTCTGTTGCTGGCACACACATACAAACACATTTTGTTTGTACAACAGTTTATTTGTAGATCGCGCCTTCTCGCGTGTATTCGTTAATGTGTGCATAATAATATTTGAACGTTGAAGCGTTGTTGCCCTTTGCATACACTTTCGCATCTTCACTCTTATCTGCTGAAGCGTCGCAAGCCAAACTCGTGAAATGCAAACGACCGACACCGTTTCGAAGTGTGTTGTGCACAGAACCAAACATTACGTATAACACACACACACACACTTTCCAATCATTCACCGTTCAATTTTTCAACTTTCATCGTGCGCGCAACAACATTTTCCCATCAATTGAGAGAGTGTGTGTGTATCTATCTTCTTTCAATCGATTTACCGAATGAAATGAGAATCAAGTTTCATATTTTTGGTTTCATCATCATTGCACTTCAGCATATTGTAAAGTTTGCTTTTCTTGCACGGGATCAAAGAAAAAATGAAAAAAGAGAGGGAAAAAAATTGAATATATTCCCGTTCACTTCATGCTTTCTGATGATTTTTTTCTTCTCAAATGTACTTGCGATGTTTTGTCAGTTGTGTGAGCTGTTAGATTTGGCACACGCGCTACGACGTATTGATCAAAATATTTATGAAACATTATTATTGCTCTTGCGTTGTGCGAAAAGCTTCAACATTGCGTTCATATGACATGGGTACATTAATAATAACTTCTTTTTTTTTTCGTGTGTGTGCTGCGTTTTGCTTTCAACGAATGGTGAACAAAATAAGCGAAAAGAAGAGCGAAGATGAGAAGAAAAAAACATGTACAAGCGGAATGGAACATAATATGTAACTTGAGATGTTTTCAAAAATGTAATTCTATATCAAATGAATGCGGGTAAATGTGTACAGGGAAAAAAATAGCAATACAGGTACAACGGAGGCGGAAGGGTGGCTGATCAAGTGAAAATGTTTGTGTTCGCATAAACGCAAATATTGCTGCACAAACATTTTCTCGGCAATTTTTCATACGTATTGAATTCAATTCTTATTGCAGCAAATAACTAAAAGCAAACACAAAGAGAGTGGAGAGTGGTAGGGAAAGAGAATTAATGGAAAAATAGAAAAAAAAATATACGCCGTTTCAATTCATTGATCAAAAGACCGGGCGATATAGAATTTCCCCACACCATATCCATTTCGACGGACATTTATAGTTTAAACGAAATTACTGGCGACTTATTGCCATTTCGGTACTTCAACCGAATACATACACCACCGGAAAATGTTCAAATAATGTGAACCCATTACAACGACATTTAGGCTTTCTGGTAGGAGTTGAAAATGGTATTATATACATAATAGCTCGTCGTTTATCTGACCTTAATGATTTCAGCCATATAGCAATTATCAGCGGTACAATGCCAAATGCTTCAGTCTTTGGCTACCAATAGAAAGGTAATTCAAATTGGTTGCATTTTATCGTTTACGAACGTCGTTCGCCGAACGAGCAAGATTAGAATGGATCGAGCTAGTCCAAAAAAAAAAACGCCGCTTTATTCAAATGGCGAAGAGTTTATTTCGCACTCCGAAATAATAATCGACTATTCATTTTGTGTCCGGTGGGAAATTGCATTACAACTGCGGCGCCTATTCGAAGTAGACTTGAGCGTGTGTGTGTGTGTGTGTGTGTGTGTGTGTGT